TTATTATTATTATGTTTATTATTATTATGTTTATTATTATTATGTTTATTATGTTTATGTTTATGTTTATCATGTACACTAATTCCTCTGTCAAGGGAACAAAAAAGGAAATACAATAATTCCTCGTAAACAAGGAAAATGAAAACTGAAATCAACTAATGAGAAAAATTTTACTTTTGTACACTAATTCGGGAACAAAAAAGGAAATACAATAATTCCTTGTAAACAAGGAAAATGATAACTGAAATCAACTAATGAGGAGAGAAGGTGATGGAAAAAAAACAATCAAAAGAGAAATTACGGTAAAGGTATGAATAAAAACAGTAGCAATAGAGTAAAATAGTGTATGTTTATGATGTAATGGGATAATAGAGCAGATTGTTCATACAACTGTGAATATCAATTCTCGTAACCAGAACAGAGTGATCACTGCATGATTATCCCCTCATGTATTCCTCTGTCCAAATACCCTCTAACCGAATCACGTCGTTCCTATTGTCGACTCCCTCACCAGCCTCTCCTTTTCTCTCTCCTGCCCCACCTTTCTTCTAGAATAAACCTTTCAAGTAATAGGCTTATTGATAATAAGACCCACATCAGTAAATACATCAGGCCCACTGTCCAAGTCCTACAATAACCAAATCCCTCTTATTCTAAGAAACAAAGTAATGCTCAATAATCAGTATTTGTGGCATGTTTTTCAGCCTTTATGTGGGTTTCCACAGAAACTATAGACACTTAGCTCTACATTTGTAATGTGGTTGAAATTGAGCATTTCTACGCAAGATTTTTTTTATGGATATGATCAAGGTAGTCAAAATCGAGATCCTAGCCAGGATTGGGAAGGGGGCTCAAGATCGTGGTCACGCAAGATTTTTTTATGGATATGATCAAGGTAGTCAAAATCGAGATCCTAGCCAGGATTGGGAAGGGGGCTCAAGATCGTGGTCACGGGATCGTAACACAGTTTGTAAGATCCTATCAATGTTACAAGTTAGAAGTATATACTTTTTTAATAGAAGTGAGAATAAAAGAGGTATGCTTCCTATAGGTAAAAGAGAATACCAAAGGTTGCCCTGCAAAAGAAAAGGAGAGTACAAAGTATCAGCCTCATTTTTATCATGAAAACATTTTTAGGGGTTTTTAGACCTAAGTCTGCATTTTTCCAGAACTAGGCCACATACCTGACCCGTGCTTCCATTACGGTGCATCCTTGCTGAATCACAGAATTACACCATCTCGCCGATTTTACAGCTTTCCATGGCAATTCTGTGGCACCCACACCATGAGACTTTCTCCTGGCACGAGAGCGCTTAGAGGAGGTAACATCATGGTCCCGTGCACACCTACAAATTGAAATGTGGATCTGAATATATGACAGTGATTACTAAAAGTAAAGAGTCTAAAATGTCTAGAGATAAATTGGACCCCAAAGCTTTTTAGTACATTATTGAACATTAGCATTGGGTGAATGCGCGCAGAAGAACAATTACACTCTACAGCAGAGCTTCCTAATTGAGTAAGAGATGATTCAACGAAGTTATCTTAAACTAAAAATAATGAGATGAATAGGATTATAAATCATGTAAGAAACATCAATACACCTAGGTGTCGGCTTCTGGTATAGAGGAAAGTAATATTAGATAGGCTTGAGATATAGCAAAGTTGGAGTGATTCTGGGATCACAAAAAAGCATGGAGTTGAAACAGGCAAACAGGCATAGTAAAATTAGTCTATGAGTTGATCTGGAGATTTTAGACTACTTGTAACAATCTTGTTGATAAACAGAAGGTCTATAACACATTAGTTAATAACTTGCTTGTTTCACATTCTTCATAGCACAGGAGGATTTATTAGTCTCCGAATTTGGGTTGAGCCTAACTCATCTATACAAAACTAGCTCGTAGGATGAGGATTGCCCACATTTATAAACACAACACATGCCATATCTCTAAGCAATGTGGGACTAAATCCACTCCTTCAAACCCACACAATGAAGGTGTTGGGGGCTGCAATGAAGGCAAGCCAAAGTGCCGCAATTAAGGCGACAAGGGGCGGACCGCAATTAAGACGGAAATTCCAACAATTAGCTTGCGTTTTTAGGCAACACAAGTATTTGACTAAGTTACCATTTTATTCCAGCACTGCTCTCTATCATTACAACAGTTATGGTATTAAGTTGGAAAGAACAATAAATGCTTTCTAAGTTATCTAATGTATCTCTATAAATTTGAAATTACTGTTTAGTCTATGTATCGAGCTATTATCAGGTCAATATTGCGTTATTGCTCTTACAACGCATGGTTTGTGAATTATAATCGGGGAAACAAGATTACTAGACACATTAATACAAATAGGCCTTAAAACAAACATTCTTTTTTATTTTTAGATGACTCGCTTCACTGTACTTTTATGTTTCAGGTGTCAAAATTCCGGAGTCAATAATAAAATTCAGTTTGAAGAGAGGTCCGGTTGCTCAAAAGCGAGGAAAGAGCAAAGAAAGTATTGCAATCGATCCTGTAGAGATGGCAAAAGAAAAATTTCAGATAGCTGCAAAAGCAGGATGTGATCTTGGATTGAAATGGCTTGCAAGGTTAGAAGAGGAAGAGAAGCGATTACTCACCCAAGAATTTTGAAGTTTAAATTAGAAAATAATGTGTTTTTTACATCATCAGAGTTGCCTTCTCTAATGCTAATGAAATAACTTGAGAGGAAAATGTGAATAATTAGATGAATAATACTAGGAACACACATTTTTCAACACAGTATATTTTATTGATTAAAATTCACGCGTGTAAAGTGTGATATTTATCACTCAAATTTAGGTACACGAGATGTTTTTTTGTACTTCAATAATACCATTTCTTGAGTATTACCAAAAAATAAAATTAATTATTGATTTTTCATAACATTTTGAATATCTAAATCCTGATTTATCGAATGTAAAATTATGCATGAAAAACATGTTCAAATCAAATTTAGTGCATCTACATACAACTGCTAAGAGCTGAATAAGTGTATGCGTGAATGAAAAAAACTAATAAAAAGGTCATACTTTTGTATTTATGTTTTCCCAAACTATGGTAATGAAAGAAATGAAGAGGATTTTGACTTGAAAATAGAGTTGTATATTGATGTGTAGAAAATGGTTTGTACAGCTAATATTATATGTAAAGGCTATTTTCAATTTCAACTAATACAAAAGAGTCAAGATGTTCTCCCTTTTTTATCATAGTTTGGGAAATATAAATACAATAGTATGACATTAGACGAGTTTAATGGTTTATTATACACTCCAAAATATTTGAAAACTATAGTAATGGGAGAGAAGAAATGGAGAAAGAAAATGGAGAGGAGGATCCTATCTTTCTATTTTCCTACAAATACTTTTTCAGTTTAAATAATTTTGTTAACCTGAATTAACATTCTTTAAAGTGGAAGATAAGCTAAAGTACAATGAAAAAAGGAAAAGAAACTTGATAATGAATTGATTCAAGTCCTCTTGGGGTGAGACAAAATGATTAATAAAGCGACCCCTTTGGGTTTGGCAGTCAATGTTTCACATTACAGTGTTGTGTAGCTTTCCGCTTTATGTGTCTGCCATAACCACAAAGCCTCAAACCCTTGTCTTCTCTCTCCGTTTCTCGCCTAAAAAGAAGAGACAAACACCAAAGAGTCAAACTAAAACATAAACAAGGACACACTCCTTGAAATAACCAACAAATTACCTTATATCCCGGCTTAGATCATTGTCCCACAAAACCATTCAAAATCATGGTATCTCTAATATGCCAAAATATTTCTTACTTTAAGAAGTGACTAATCTTCATTGAAAATTTTGATGTACACACACAATGAAGGGTTTTTTCCTAAGGTTTAATTTATCCTGTTATCTTAACCCCACATATGACAAAAACACAAAACACACTTAAAAGTAAAGTAGTAATAATCAGTTTCTAAATGGTGTTATCTCAGATGGGTGCTCTTCAATCCACACTTGTCTACTTGATTTTGTTACATTCATCCCACACTGTTGCTTACAAGGATCAAGAATGGAACAAAGCCACTGCAACTTATGCCAAAGACACAGAGGGATCCCTCATTACAGGTACTTCTCTTCCTCCTCCTTTGGTTCTTTTACATTAATAATCTTGTTTTTCTCAAAAATGCACATGGTTGTTGCGGTGCAGAAGGAGCTTGTGGTTACGGAGATCTTCACAAAGCTAGCTATGGAAAACACAGTGTTGGACTAAGCACAATTTTGTTCAACAGAGGAAGTACGTGTGGGGCTTGCTATGAGATCAGATGTGTTGACCATATATTATGGTGTGTGCTTGGAAGCCCTTCTGTAATTGTTACTGCCACTGATTTCTGTCCTCCTAATTACGGTCTCTCAGTTGATTATGGTGGCTGGTGTAACTTTCCAAGACAACATTTTGACTTGTCATTGCCTGCATTTTCTGAAATTGCCAAAAGAAAAGCCGATATTATTCCGGTTCAGTATAGAAGGTAGAGATAAAATCTTTAAACATTGTTCCAAGAATGCCTTTGGACTAACAATTTAATCAAACACTTATTTCATAAATTTATCTACCAAGACATGATACATACACACGCATTTCATCTCAAGTGTCAGTATTATATAGATTTTTATCATATAAAAGTTGAAATGTTTGTTTGTGTAAATGTGATGTAGAGTGAAGTGCGAAAGAAGTGGTGGATTGAAATTCACAATGAGTGGAAGTTCTCATTTCTATCAAGTCCTAATTACTAATGTGGGATTAGAAGGTGAAGTGTTTGCGGTGAAAGTGAAGGGATCTAGAACAGGATGGATACCAATGGCAAGGAATTGGGGAATGAATTGGCACTGCAATGTCAACCTTCAACATCAGCCTTTGTCCTTTGAGGTGACCAGCAGCACTGGCAAAACACTCACATCTTACAATGTAGCACCATCAAACTGGCAATTTGGACAGACATTTCAAGGAAAACAATTTTAAGGAAAACCATGCTTCCTAGAATCATGATACACTAAGATCTGTATATTTCAAGGAAAACCATTTTCAGGAACAACATTTTGTAATATAACATCTTATGCTAAATTATTTTTTGATAGAAGTTTATTTCAAAATTTTATTTTAGTCCTTTAATTATTATTATTTTTTTAAAATAGATTAAGAACATTCCTCTTAGAAAAATCATCTTGAGTTGTCTGAAAACCTTTCTAATGATTTTAAGTCTTCAAATATCTAGATATTCCAGTATTCTGAAACCTTTGGAACAGTATTCAACAACTGAACTCTAGTATAATTGATAGTTGGTTTTGACACCTTGTTAGACCAAGTTTCTAGACTTGAGTTTTGAAGTAAATTTGTTTTGCTTAGATGGAATTGTTCATTAGACCTTATATAAGTATATCTCTCCTTTAAAAATTTAAAATTGCCTTTTATTCGTTCGGAGACACACTCAAATCACAATTAAAATGCGCTATTCTGAGATCCACCTCATTTTTGAATAAAATGTGGTCTGGAGATGCGTCTCCGTATGAGTATTTGGTATATTAGGAGATGCAATATCTGAAATGTCCTCTAAAAGTTTTTTTAAGCGTGATAAATACAAAGGAGGAATTATTTCAGAGATGCATCTTCCGAATCCTCCCTAAATCATATCATAACAACACAATTGTCCAAACATTCAAGTTTTTAAGGCCAACTTATATTAACTTATATTAATCTAAAATCAAAGAAAAAAAATCAGTTATATTAAAGTTAAAGGAGGGTAAAAGTTCATACACAAATAAAAAAGTCAAGATAATTCATACATAACATTTGTTCGAAAATACATTTGAAAGTACCTAAAAAAATAATACATCCAAATATAAGTTATTAGATATGTCTAACCACCTGCCTCCTCCTCTGCCTGTACGGCACGATATTCTGTAACTCGAAAACCATGCACTCCACTAGGGACAACTAGGGAATACCATGCTCAAAGAGTCCCGACTCTATGGCTGCTCTACCCATCTTTATAACACGCCGACATACCGTCGTCACGCCTTTGCCTGCTCATCATGAACCCTTAATTACCTCTTGATTAACTGACCTATGTGGTTTTTGTCATACCACAATTTTGTCCGTGTCACAGTGAAAAATCGGGAGACTAAACTATTGACTAACTTGACTCACAAAAATAAGAAGTCACCATCGAATTTTATTATTTCCAAGCAAAGGGAAAAAAAAAATCAAAATCTTATACTTATCATGCAATGCAAGAAGAACAAAACTAAAAGCAAAGCACAAATAAGAGATCTAAGGTACGAGGGTCCGTTATACAAAGGGAATGTATTAACATCCTATGTATCTATAGTACTCTATATGAACCTTTTGTAATATATGTTTTTTTGTGTGGTTAAAATAGTTTGTTTACAGAAGAATGTGGAGGTGAGAAGAGAAATATATTTTTATTATATTTTTGTTTGGAAAGACAGAGTTTTATACCTATATACTAATGAATGATCAAAACCTCATAGTTCGTGGTAAAAATAACAAAATAATTTGTTGATTGATTTTAGGAGAAGAGACGTTTCATCACCTTTAAGGAAAATACTCAACTAATTCCACCACAAATATGAGAAGATGGATCTTGCATCATCATGAAAAAAGAGCTCTTAACTTGGATATAAGATCAACAAGTTGCCACTGGCTCCCTCAAGTGGAAAGAATCACATTTACTTCAATCATTATTATGGGGATAAGAGAATTACATCTCTACTATGAAGTTGGTTTATATCTAATCTTTGAGAAAAAAAATTTAAATTGAAAAGCCAAGTGGCAAAAGGATTTGAGTGAGGTTGAATCTTTTTTAGTCTTTTGAAATTATTTAATATGCTTAAGTGTATTGAAGTCTTTATTAAAAGAAAGAAAGTTTGAAAAAAGGCAATGACACAAAGTCAAGGTTTTTATATGAAAGTGGTGAAAGTTTAAAAATGAGATTAAGGGTTTAAGAACAAAGGGTAAACACAAACAATTACAAGGGTAATATACAAAAGGTAAACACACAAAGATAAATCTAAGATATGCATATGCACATGACTATAAGTTAACAAAACTTTCCATTTTCTTGGATTTGAACATAAGGACTAATAAACTTATAAACAACTAATCAATAATACAAAGAACAATCACACATGTCACAAATATTAAGGATAAAGTCACAAAGTAGCATGGATTTTAAAAGAGTTATTTAAAAAAAATATTCATAAAGGTTTTAAAGAAAACACTAAGATTTAATCAAACTAAAACAAAAGAAACTATTTTTTTTGATATTTTTAATTAATTAATATGTTAAACAAAGATATAAAATAAAATTAAAGCTTTGAATAAATAAATACAAATATTTTTGTATTTTTGGAATATTAATAAACATAATAAAAATCAAGAGAATAAAAGAAAATAAATAAATGAATAGAAACTAAAAGAAAATTAAAGGAAAAAGAAATAGAAACAGAAGGAAGAGAGTTAGTGCTAAAAATAAGGTTTTGTGACCAAGGAGTGTTGAACTCAGGCTCTCATGCTTACCACTAAAAAAATCCTAATCAGTGGGCCACGCACTATGTGGTGATAACAACATGCATTCAGATGATAATATATGAAGTTATGTTCGAACCCCAGACCTCTCATTCACACACAAACACACAAATACCAGCGTGTTAACCACTGGGGCGCAATGCCAATTCATTAACAAAACAACTTCAACTAAATATAAAATAAACTCAATTTTTAAAAATAAATTTCACACCGGGCTTCATCTTCAACCTCTCGTTACTGTAACTTTTTTTCAAAAATGGTGATTTTCTCATTTATTCATTTCTCAACCAAATTAAAAAAAATATAAAAATTTAACTTGCTTGAAATTTCACAAGAAATTCAAAAATGTGCTTAAAGTTAATTTATATCCACTGTATCAAACATATTTCAATCAAAACCAAAAAAACCTATTTTTTTCCAAAGTTAAATTAAATGATAAACAAGCTCAACCAATGCCTATTTTCATAGGAATTTTATTCATGGCAATTAAATAAACAAAATAGTATCAAGAAAAGTTTAAAATGATGCATGAATGGCTTCAAAATCAAGAAAAATTCACCTATTGGAGAAGGATCCAATGCCCTCTTCAAGCACTTTCAGTGATAACAAATGATCTCTTTAGCTTGTATGATGTCTCAAGAACACAATGCAACATTTAGTTTGCCTTGAAATCCTTTGAATATTTCTGACCAAGTCTATTTATAATGATGAATGAGCATGGGTTGGATGGAGCAATTGAGGTGTTAGAGCTACAGACTAATGCATACAAAAACTTACATGTAGTGTATACATGGTGAATATATGGTTAGTTTGCAAAGAACTTGCAAGTATTGAGTATTTTGAAGAAATGGCTCTTTTGGTACAATGATGGAGTTTTTGTGATTTCTCTATAAGTTTGTGTGTTTGAGGGAGGATTTCTGTGTGTTTAAAGCTGAGATGAGGTCCTCTATTTATCTATTTATAGAGAAGTTGAGGAGGCTTAAGGATGAAGCAAAACAAAGATTTTAAAATTATGGTTTGGTTGATTTTCAAGTTTGTAGTTTCATGAGAAATGGTGGTTCCAAGATGAAAAGTTGCTTGATTCGTGGACAATAGATTCACTTAGGGTGTTGCTTCTGAGTTCTTTGATAGAGTGTAATTAGAGAGAACAAAGTATGGGCTTAAAACAAGATTTGTTGAGAAAAGTTGGCTTTATGAAAATGGAAGTGGTGACTTTTGCAAAATATTCTCAAAGTGGCATGAAATTTGGACAATGCACCAAACACTTGGGCAATGCCTTAAAGACTTATGTAAATCATCAATTATGGTGAGATTTTGAATTGAGATAGTCTGTACACAAAGATCACATAGTTTGGATAAAGGTTACATGAATTTTGAACAAAAAAGCTGCCTTGTAAAACCTCTCTACCATGGCTACTTCATCTCTTCAAAACTTCATGCTCTTGAACTTTTTGGAAAGATGAGAGCATCCTCTACAACTTTCATTTTGAGCACTTGGCCAGAATCAATTGGGATCATGGATATGAATTACTTACAAAAATGGCATTTCAAGCTGAAAACACTTAGAAAATTATTCAAAGTCTTTGGACATTTTAACAACTTGATCACTTCATATATTCAAATTCTTATGATCTTTTGATTTCATCCCTTTTACAATGTTGAAGTATGTAGGATTATCTTGAAGTACATCCTTTGGGCATGAAAAATGATGGCTTGAAGAAGAAGTTACAAGCTTGGAAAGTCATGTACTTGAACAAATATTTTTGACACTTAAGTGAAATTTTAAAAAATATTCAACTTTGCCCTTTTTGCAAGTTACCTCAAATTTTGTGATTCCTCTTGATCAAATTCAAATATTAATCACATTTTCATAAAATTTAACTTGAGAAGTCCATATTTGACTAAAATTCCCAAAAGTCAAAGTTTGACTTTGAGTAGTTGATTTTTTCAGATGAATTCAAATCTTCCAATTTCAATGAACTCTTGTGATCATAGTGCAATATTCAACACATTGAGATACCTTGAGGATTATGAGATGATGATATTAAGGACCTCTTGAGTGATGTGTAAAGGAGATCAACCTTAAAAACCCTAATTCTTGATTTTTTTAACTAAGGGTGCCAAAATCCTAATCTTCTCTAATCATCTGATGAATCCATGATGGAATCCTACTGATGAGGATTATGATGAAGATGATGATCATCATGAGTTAATGAGAGGCATGAATCATTTTGGAACATGCATGTCCTTGATCTATTAACCGTTGGATCCTCTTGACCCAACACACCTATCTGGTACAAGAAACAAACAAACAAGACAAAACCCTTGTATTTTATGAGATTAGTGATGTATAGATGAATGGTATGATCCTTGATGTTATGCAAATGGTGCAAATAGAGGTGGTGGAATCTTAG